GGCAAATTACAGCAGCGCGACAGTTTCAGCTGCTGACCTCTGCGCGTACGACCAGGGTTAACCGGCACTGCACAGTTCTCAACGTGGGGGGGGGGGGGCATTGGAGGCCGCTGAAGGTCAAAAGGTCGGGAAAAGGGAGTTGTATTTTTGGAAGTGATGGGTTGCGGTGGTGTCGGTTTTTTTTTCAATTCTTCTGATGGAAATTAAAAAGCGAGCATGAAGTGGTTGGAATTAGATGATTTGCCGTTCCATCCGATATACTTACTCCCTTCCCCCTTGGAGGGGTAAAGTGGGCGGGGTTGGGTTGTTGGGTTGTGTCAACTGGTCGCTTATGATGGTGGGAGTGGTGGTTGAGGACGGGGCAGAAGAGGGGAGGGTTCGTGTTGGTGGATTCTCCTATAGCCGACGGTGGTGGTGAGGATCGTATCGACACCCTCACCTAGGGGATGGGGGTCGCAAATTTTCTGAAATTGGAACAAAGGACGGTTAGCCTTGTCTACGACTCTCTCCCTCTGACCGACTCCCTGTTGAAGATTCCCTCGACCACTGTTCGCCTTCGCCCCTAGGGTAGCATGCTGATGATATGATATTACGTAGAATATCACTCCAACTGTGCAAAGCTAGCAAAGAAGACTGGAAGTGATTGTTCTACCACCTATCGGTATCTAATGTTTACTGAAGCATGATAGCGTTGGAGATCAGTCTGAAAACGGCCGTTCAAGTGAAACAAAAGAGATGAGGAAGTTTCATTTGATTAAGACGCACTCACCAAAGCAGCTGATCGGTGAGTTTCTACTCTTTCAGCTCCTCATACTCTGCTCCAGGAGTTGATCTACTCTGAACTCACTCCAAGTGACTTCAAATCTCTTTCATCTACTGCTCAATGAACTTTCACAACAACACTTAACATCACTTCTTGACAACCAATGTAATTGCCCTCGAAACTAAACTGGCACTATCGCAAGACTAGGGTGGTTTATGTGCAATGTTATTGTCACCCACAGAGATCCCAGTTTTGGCAGAGGAATGAAGCTTACGGGTGCGCTAATCACTTACTACTATCCTCCTTGTTCCGAATGTCCCTCTAAAGATCATCAGCGCGTTGTACTGTACCCAGACGATAGAAAAGATGTCACTTCCAAATAAAGGTACACATTCATGGGTTTCATGAACTCATTACGTTTACAATAAAAGGCCACCTCAAGCACTCCTCTTACAGCTTCATGAAGATGCTGGCTTATGAAACAAAACTCTCCCCCCCTAGAGAGTCGAATCCCCACGTGTCGCTTACCGGACAAGTGGGCTACAGTTACGCTACCGCTGCCGGTGCTGCTCTCCTTACACTACTGCCTCAGTGCTCAGTAGTGACAAGTTGTAAGGGTTGTAGCTGAGAACAAAAAGGGTAATTTCAATCCTAGAACGTTCAACAGCCTCATGCAGTGTTCCCTATGCGCGGTTGTTGGTAACTCACACC